AGGTGGCCGCGCCAAGTTATGGAATACTCTATCGCGGGAGCTTCCGTACTTACATAAGAGAGAGCCATCTTAAGACACACCTTTTTAAGATTGCTTATAGTTGAATGAATTTTAATTGTTACATATCGATATTTTATATTTTTATTGTAGAAGTGTATATATTATTGTTTTTCGTATAGTAAATAGGTTTTTTATGCTTTTGTTACCAATGTAATGCACATTTGATCATTTTTATGAATACCTGCGCAATATAAGTTATTGAATTGTTATTATTAATTATTAAATGTACTCGAACGTTATTTTGGCTCACTGTTGTAAAATTAATTTGCACAAGTAGATTACAGGATAAAATGAAATTCTTCAGGATGTTATACCAGATTTTCTTTGTTCAGCTATCAGAGTTCTCCCCCGATATTTTAGCGTAGGCAAAAAGCGGACTTAAGGACGGTGCCCACTATTGTTACTGCGCACATTTTCTGCGCATGTCAAGGTAGTCGCGCGCGACGCGAAATAAATGCGCAACACGCAGGACAGCGGACTGGTTTTGTCTCCTGTAAGTCTGGGAGGTTCTAGTTATTTCTTGTGAAAAAGATGCGTCGTTTTTCAACGGATGAATAATAATTTCTATTTACCTTGTCAGTTCTTTGAAAACCGAGGAAGTATGCGCATTTTGCTATTTCTACGTATGATCGATCTGACCGAACATTTTTATAGTCAAACAAAAGTCAATTCTAAAACATCAAAAGTTATTTCTTCAAGATGTTACGCTTAGGGCTTGGGTATTAAAAAATCCCTTAATAGGCAAGCATCAGTAAACCAGAAGGAAAATAGCTCTCGGTTAATCGAGAAACTGCAAGCTTACCTTTCACTCGCGTCCTTCGCGTTTTATCGATTAATCGGCTATAAACACTTTCCCGAACATTTCTTTAATTTGTAAGATTTTATGTAATTATTCACCAGAAGATAGACTTAACGCGTTCGAGTACATACAGATGTCCCTTTTATTGAGAGTCCGAGGCTTTTATTAGTTAAACAAACAAGAAAAAAAATTATCACAAGATTGTTTGGATTGCTGAGATCGCAGCGTCAAAAATAGTTGCGGACCGCAAAGGAAAAGCTTTCATCGTGGAAAAAAATGACAACAAATTGTTATGATTTTTACTATTATTATTGTCATTTAAGCATTTAGGCATCACTCAGCATTGAAATTATTGACTCATTGGCATCTTGTCGTGTAGATAGTGTTTCTTAAGGTTTAATTTCACGCCACACATAATCTGGACATTTAGGCAAAGCTGCCATTTGGCTGTTTACAAACTAAAGATGGAAGGTAAAATAAACTGAAGTATTTCCATTCTAAGACTTTCTTAGGTTTAACAGACACTGTTAAGTCTAAAATTAACATTTAGAAACGAAAAATAATGAATGATCATGACACAGAATGCTACAGTAAAAAAAATCAAAACGAATTATATAAAATGATCATTATAGCCCAGTGCATCTATGAGGAGGGTACATAAACGCATTCGGTACAACTGCTTTCACACTATTCAGCTTTTTTAAAGAGAGCGCATGTATGGAACTTGAGTCTATGCAAATCATTTATGTCATATGACACTTGTGGCAAAGCTTGAAAGCGCAAAGCACAGATATAAGCTCATTGAATGTATTGAAGTTTAATAACATATTCGATCGAGGTACCCGGTAAAATGATAAAAAAACGATAGAAGGTTTACAATCCATATAACATGTACAGTTCAAAAATCTTCAGAACATGTACAGGTAAGCAAACGATTGAAGGGGTACCTGTCTTAGAGTCCCTGTCGACTATTTTCCACTACACGGTAGTAGTTTCTTTACTACTACTCTATGTGCGCTGCAAGTAATCTTTAATACCTTGGAGATTGCTCTTCTCCAAACATTTTTGTTAAATCTTTGAGACGGAGAAGCTCCAGTTGAATAAAATAGTATAATTTGTTTTCCTTAGAGTCCATGAAATATCCTGCTTCACTTTCTGTTTTTGCTCTCCTTCGTGTGTTGTTGTTTTCTGTGACTGTTAGCCATTGTGGATATCCCAGAGTACTCCGCGTTGAGTGAAGCCATAGTGCAACTGACCGGGGAGGGGATGGGGAAAATTGTAAATAATCCCAAAAGCGATTAAGTTAAGGTCGAAACCAACCAATTTAACTTCTAAAACGCGTGGTAACCCCTACTTTGTATCTTACCAAATGAAAGTAATAAGCCTACTCAGCAAACGATCAGTTTTTGGTTCGGGGAAAATGTCGTTTACACTATTTTTGAGGCAAACGCGTGGAGAGGGGTAACTGCTGATAACTTCCCAGTTGTGCTGATATTTCAAAAAAAGACGTATAAAGAGCAGTTGTTATGTTATCATTTGTTGCCTATTTTGAAACCTTGTTACAATTATCATTGCATTTGTGCCAGTTCACGTGTACACTCCGAAATTTTGGGAAAAAGAACTTTTCTTCATTTTTTTAAAAAACGCCTATTAAGCGTTTTTGTCCACATTGAAGCGCAGTTATCTCTGAAAAATGCGTGGTTACCCCCCGTTTTCTTTTTGGATTTCAATAGCCCCTGATATGATCTACTTGTCTCACAAAGTCGTAATCTGGGAAAAAAATACTTCCCATTAGTGGGCACCAGCCTTAAGAGAAATTCACTCGTTGAGGTGAAACTATAGTCACCGGTTTTGTATATTTTTGTTTGAAACTATCAAACTTGAAAACATCGGTTAAGCTTTTTCATTCCCCTAGCCTGCAAGTAAGCTCTCCGGGGCGCTCTTGCGGAGGGGTGGGAAAAGGAAGGAGAGCTTTCAACTACGTCTCTGGAATCTGCAACGAAAAAGTCGATGCGAAATGCTGATTGGCAAAGTTAACATTAGTAATGACGTTATTTTCCTTGGCACGTGGTTTTCAATGTTTGTTTACATTAGCGCTCGTTTCCGCTTCGCGCCGATTGGCGGAAATCTGACAGTTCATTCAACTGGGAGCCACAAGGGAATTGGAAGTGGAATTCAAATTCCAGAGAGGTAGTTGCAAGCTCTCCTTCCTTTTCCCGCCCAGCCGCCAGGGTGCCCCGGAGAGCTTGCTCGCAAACTATTATTCCCCTTCCTTTTAGCCTTCGCCATAGACGGAACTAAACTTCTTGTTAAGTCCATCTGTGCAAGCAAACGCCGAAATTGTTCTGGGCCCTTATCTGTGTACCAGGATTTGAGTGCGCGCCATGATTGACCTGTTAAAAAGCTATTGTTCAGTTGGCTGACAGCTCATTTAACTAGGAGCCACAAGGGAATTGGAGGTGGAATTCAAATTCCAGAGAGGTAGTTGCAAGCTCTCCTTTCTTTTCCCGCCCAGCCGCCAGAGCGCCCCGGAGAGCTTGCTCGCAAACTATTATTCCCCTTCCTTTTAGCCTTCGCCATAGACGGAACTAAACTTCTTGTTAAGTCCATCTGTGCAAGCAAACGCCGAAATCCTTGTTGTGGGCCCTTATCTGTGCACCAGGATTTGAGTGCGCGCCATGATTGACCTGTTAAAAAGCTATTGTTCAGTTGGCTAATCAGTTTGAAGGAAAATTCGAAACGCACTTCCGGTAATTCATTGAGTTCCTTCGGAGCCCTTAACAAAGGTCTCGACGCTGCTTTGCAGACGTTGATAGCCTGGGTAAGATTTTGTCTGCGACGCAGGCCACTTCTTTCCTTGCCGTGATAGCTTCATGCTAAGGATCCAAGGTCGATGAACATCAGATTAGGGGAAGGGTGGGTGAGCAGCTTCCAAGAATGTTATACTGATCCAATTCTATCATCCACCCCAACCCTACTCCAACGTAGATGAACGTTGGATTAGAACAATGGTGGGTGGATAGTTTCCTAGAATGTTATACTAATCCAAGTCTATCCAGCCACCCCTCCCCTGATCCAAAGTAGATGAACGTTGGATTAGGGGAAGGGTGGGTGGATAGTTTCCTAAAGTGTTATACTGATCCAAGTCTATCCACCCACCCCTCCCCTAATCCAACGTAGATAAAAGTTGGATTAGGGGAGGGGTGGGTGGGTAGTTTCTCAGAATGTTATACTGGTCCAAGTCTTCAACAGTTTAGTCACACAAGACCAGACCACTACGTCTGTAAATATTTCTGATTTAAAAATTTCGTTGGCACTGCGCCGGTTGTATGAACGTTAATATCGGATGTAATTAATCGGCAACGTTGACTCTAAAAGCAGTCAAACTCTTTATTTGCAGTAACGTTTAACTCAAAGTTAGCGGCGAGTGGTAAATTTAATTTTCGACCGGCAGAACAGACCTTTCCGCATTCCGCTCCAGAGAGCACACACAACGAAATCAGTGGACAATTTCATAGAAAGCACTGTATTTCGTTACCCCAAGCCTCAAGTAAGTGCCTTTAACACGAGAATACGGGTAGGTCTTTTAAATATGGACTCATGCCTAAACTTACAGTATCGAAAAGCGTGGAATTAATTGGACCCGTCAGAACTCGTGCATGCGCCTAACATTAAAAACTGTACAACAAAAGTCGCACAGGGTAGTGTGATTTGAAGTCTTTGGTAACATGGCAACAAAACAGTAAATAAGAGTTTCAAAATTTCCAAAGTGTTATTTCCATTTCTAAAGAGCCAGCAGTAAAACAACTGGACAGTGGTCACTTCCTTTAACACGCTGACGGATCAGACTATCGGATAGTTTAGGCACCCGTCTCTCGGACACCACAAAGTAATCAAGACGCCTGCAATGAAAAGTTATCATATTATTAAAAAAAATTGGCCACTTTCGTGTTCCAAAAACCCAGGCCACATGCACATGACAATGAAAAATCATGTCCATATCAAAGGCCGAGCACTAACCCTCGTTTTGATGCAGCGGCCCGGGGGAACATGGAAATGGCCTCGAGTTTACTCTAAAGGCTGCCCTGCAGGGGTGCTTATCATTTAAACAAACCACCTGCGTGAAAATCTTGTGCATAAACATTAAACTAGAACATTTGACATGGTGGGAAAACGACTAGCCTCCCGCGCAGGCATTTTTTGGGGAGCTCGTCTTTCATCCCTCCCCTCAGGGATGAAAGACGAGCTCCCCTAAAAACGCCTGCGTGGGAGGCTAGAGAACGACCCGCTACAATCCAAATCAGCTGAACAAACTAAAAAGAGTTGACAAATTGCATGGCATCAAATCACAGCCGTTGTTTTCTGAAGCTTCTAAAACGGAATGGCGGGAACCATTTGATTTTCCATCCGGAATTTTCGGTTTTTTAATGTAAATGGTGAGTACCCCTGCAGATCACAATGTTAATAGAACATTAATAGAGAATGATGCTTTCGTATTTAGTGTCACTCAGCCTCAAGTGAAATAACTGAGAGTTTAATCAGGCGGTGTTTTTGGCCACGTTTTAAAATATTGGTATGGAAAACAGTTCGACTCACTGAATCAGAGACCGCAAACGAAGTTTCTCTCTTGTGGGAATAGGGAATAAGCATGGAAAGACAGTGACTGCACATGTGGAATCCAAGGTTAACTAAAACTAGGAATAATCGGAGCTTAGGAGATTGCGTTCGATATGTTTGTTAGGCGTACAGGCGGGTAACAGTTGAGGGGGAAGATTGGATGGTTCTTGCGATAAATAAATATGATTATGGCATATTTTGAACGTAGGAGTTGCCTACAATGAAACCTCTATTTAAACTGTGTATAATAATTATAAGAAGATTTTGACAAGGTATCGTATGGTTCGGTGTCAAGTGCTTGTAATCGGAGAAGACAGCAGCCAGAGTGCGTTGGGCGTGTAAATAGAACATTTTAAGTTTTGTTTTACTGGCGCGATTACAGGGCGCAGTTGTTCAAAGGCCGATTAGCGTTTAACCCTGGATTCTTTTTCTTTCTTCAAAAAAATTTCTTCGGATAATTTTCTCTGTTATTTCTAAGAGCATCCAATCATTAACTTGTTGACAAAATAAATTAAACTGAATTTACTTTTTTAAAAGCTTTCACATCAGAATTAAAATTTCGCAATAACCCTGTCAAAGTCTTCAGTGGAATGTGTGTGCTGCTCACGTCAATAACTTTTCCAGTAATTTGGTCGAGCGTGCTGATTTCAGTTACTCGAGAGTGGCGCCACTGTGGGCTGGTTGAAAAGTTTTTTCTAATAAATAACATACAGTTAAAGAGTTCGTTTGTCTGGTGCCGAGAATATTACACGTCATGATCAAATGGCGCCGCCGAGCTTCACTTCTCAGTAGATCTACTTTGTGGCACAACAGCTGCCGAGCTACACAACTCGGTAGATTTACTTTGTGACACAACGGCCGCTCAGCTACACAACTCGATAAATTTACTCTGTGGCCTGACAAGGGCTGCCGAGCTACATAACTTAGTAGATTTACCTTGTGACACAAAGGCTGCCCAACTAAACTCGGTTTGATGCATGCACCAGGAATCGCACACATTTTCCAAAGACAGTGACGAACCATGCTGAAAGTTATGAAGGCTTAATCCAAAGTAAAATTTAACAGCAAACTTCCGAAAGATGAACGCTTTGGAAGATTCAGCAAACACAGATCGATGTACGCTTTACGAAGATTCAGCAAACTTTTTAAAAGACGAACGCTTTACCAAGACAGAATTTCAGACCTTGCCAAACCTTTGAAAGATGAACGCCGAGGACAAACGAAACATCACGTGAGTTAGCGCGTCAAAGTGAGACAAAACGTAAGCAAGCACTTCAAAGAGAGGCAAATGTGTGTCGACGACGACGACGAAATAACCTCCCTTATTAATTGCACAGGACACCCAATAAGGCACAGAACACCCAACACCAATTAAGATCTCTGAGAAGTAGGTTCTCTAACATCTCGAAGAAGTAGGTTCACCACGTTGTAGAGTGTTGTACTGTCATCGGGCGAATCGACTTAAGTCCAAGCCAACGCTTTCAGGCGAATCGACCGCAACTGCCCTCTTGTATTAGATTTGTGCCAAGCGAGTACCGCACTCGGGCACCAAGTACGAAGCTTAGTCGTGCAGTGATGGCAAAGAAACGAACCAAAAGGCGTGATGCGAGTTTAGTGATGTTGTTTTGCTAATTAAAACTATTTCTTTTATGACGTTCTCATTGTTGTCGCCTTTGAAGAAGCTTCCCAATGTTTGCTAAAGTATGGATAAGACACTTCGCAAATAATAACGCGTTATAACTACAGCTGTAACTTACCAGCCAACATTCTTTGCGCGGGCGTTTCTCATATACGACCAAAATGAATACTGTTTAGGTTTGTCAGGATAAAAGTGACGGAACGAATGAACAAAGCTTTCCTCCAGCAGTTCAGTGAAACTATGTCTTTCTTCTCTTGTAAAACCAGTATTTTTTGTGTTGGTCTTTGGGTTTTCTAAGTCGTTAAGAAAGGAAAGGAAGGAAATAGATGTAGTATCAGTTATCAGCGGTTTTAACGTAGAAAGAGTTCTCCAAAACCTCCTGTCTACAGGAGAATTGGTAGAAAGGTTTTCAGGATCGCTTCGATAGAAAATGCAAGCCATTATTGGTTAATAGGGTTAGCATTGGTTTGCATCGGCTAAAAACACCTTGCACACCTTTTGAAGTTTACACGACATAGTATTCCTCATGGCTTCGGTTTCCCCAGTACTGTGGATATATAGTGTGGAAGCGATAAGGAATACTAATTTGTGTAAACTTTATAAGGTGTCTAAAAAGTTTTAGGGTGATGGGATCTTACACCAACCAGTAAATGGTTAACTTTGGATATCACTGAAAAACCGTAACTAACGCTTGTTCAGCCTAGGAATCGTTGTGTGAAAAGCTTGTTCCCATTCTATCCGCACGGTTATGGGTGGAGACATAAAACCTGGTGCGCACGTATTTTTTAAACAGAAGAATAATTGATCAGCAGGATTAACAGCCAGAAACTAACCTATTTCTTTGTGAGCAACATTAAGGTCACCACACAGTATAACAGGTTTGTTTTTGTCCAGATTCTTGAGGTAATCCCTGAAGTCTTTATCCCATCCCTGTCTGTAGTCAAGCCTGCGAGGAAAGTAGAGAGAAAAACAGTTGATAGTTTCAGTCGAGAACTGATAAGCCTTATTGCGGCCTTTTAAGAGTCGCCAACTAAGGACACACTTTCCGGATCGAATAAGAATTTGAAGATGTTGGTTTTTGAGGAGAGGGACAACCAGAAGAAAATACAATACCGCAAACTGCCACTTATAAATGTTTCATAGGGGGTTTTGGAGGGTTTATACCGGTAAAAGGAGGAGCCTGTTATAACTCATTTTCCAAAGTGACCTTCATACATTTCTTAAAGATACTGTGGACAGAAATTGACAGAGAATCAAAGTGTCTTTTGCACGTGATCAATTTGAACTCTCATAACCTTTTCTATTGATGATGTATTGACATTGTTCAGAGAAAATTCATTTTCAAGAACTGTTAAACCTGTGGCCCTCTATATGTTCCCAAGCAACTAAAGACACGTGAGGTCCTGACATGGAAATAATGACCCTTGACCCTTTCGTATTCTTCTTCAAACTGTGCTTACCTTGAAAGACTACGCACTGCATTAGGCACATCTAAAATAGAAAAAACGAATACATACAGAAACATTTATTTTCAATAAGTTACCTTTTACTGGGAAACTCATAAAACCGTGAGCACCAGAAATATTTATGGAATGTTATTGTGTTGAGAGGAAATAGCCAATAAGGTGTGAGAAAACTAAACTGCAAACAGCAACGGTAATAAGTTTGTGGTTTTGAGGTTTGCTTGCGTATCCTGAACTTTATTGTGATTGGCCAGTACACAATCAACATTCCTGAAATTTTTCAGGTGTTGACGGTTTTCTGAGTTTGGCAGTAAATGTAAAATAATAATAATAATAATAATAATAATAATAATAATAATAATAATAATAATAATAATAATAATAATAATAATAATAACAATAATAATAATAATAATAATAAAGATTTGGCTAAACTATGAGGGCATGTTGTGGTAGTGGATGTGGTACTGTACAGCTATAGTAGTAATAATATCATTAGTGATAGCCCTTGTATTAGTAAATGTACTGTACCAGAAGCATGTAGAGCCAAACATTTGGCGATGTGGATTAGTATTAGACTACTCACATGATGCTACTAAATAAAACTCTTTAAATTCAGCTGTTATAACTCTTCCTTCATTGTCATGCTCTTCAATGCCTGAAAAAACATGATACATTTTGCCTCTTTGCAACCCATGATGATATTACTGTTTATTTTTATCTGTAAAAGAGACATTCCTGCAGGATGAAAGTTGACTGTACATGCAATTAATTCCCAAGTGACTTCTGATAAACTACTAGATTAAAAAAAAAAAAAGGTTAAAGGCTTGTTTATAGTGGAAAGAGCACTTAGCTTGTCCAGCTAATTTACAGGCACTCCACTCAAATATTAGAAACAAATAATTCAAATACAACATAACAGGATTAAAAACCCCAACTAGCAGAAGGCAACCAGTTGGCTATTTACAGGCGAGGCCGAGAATTTGAACTCGGGACGACCGAGCACAAATCCAGCAAGTGGTCAGAGCGGGACTCGAACCCGGGACCGCCGGGTTGCGAGTCCGACGCGCTGACCACTCGGACACGCTGCCTCCTTGATTCTCCCTTTAATTTTCCTTTATGTGTTTGTCAATAAAAGAGAGAATTAGAGATTGCATCACGAGACACTTAGTACCTTATTCCCATCACCCCTAGATTATCGTCAAACAAGAACCAATCAAGATACCATTAATTTTATATTATAATGTTAATACTTACACTGTACAGTGTAATTTCCAGGAAAATGCACAAATAACAGATTTACAATACAGTTCATAGCAATTCAGGTTGACATTATTATGTTTTCAAATTTAGAAATGAGCAAATAAAAACTGTTCTTTCGTGTTCAGAGTAATTCTTCTAAAAGAAATCAGCTTTAATCAAAAGTACTTATTTCTGTGTAGAAAATGTACATGACAAGTAAAGAAAAACCTTGAGCCTCACAGTGCTACAACATCTAAAACATAGCAACTGACCTATACCATAAGATACATTCAACGGCTTTGTCTTGCTGCAGAGTCTAAAATAAATATACATAATCAAAAGAATATCAATTTAATAATTAATGTAATAACTACAATGATTTGGTGTACGTAGTATACTAGGAATAGGCTTTACAACAAAGAGCTAGCCTGCTGAAAGCAAACACATTCATTTTAGCCTGAGCAGAGACTTCCCATGAAAAACTAAAAGAAAAAAAACAAAAACAAAAACAATAACCCTAACATTACGACTGGTAATATAAGGTGAAAATTTTAAAAAACCTTGTTTCATATGCACAAGCATATTAATAGTACAAGAATGGAATTTCGAGATATTGTATTTAGTAGGGCTTTAATTTATGCATAAACTGAATACTGGACTTTTGCAAGTAAATTGGCCACATGATGGATGTTTTTGGAAAGTTTTAACCACTCTAGTCATTCTTTGAACAAATGTCCTGCCTTACTGAACTGTTTTTGCAATTTGTAAGGCCACTTTCATGAAAAAGTCATTACATAAATTTTGATGTTGCGTGTCAATGCTCACTCTAATAATGCATTTCTAACTATAAAAAAATAAAAATAAAAATTATAACAATTCTTATACAGTTTGCAGGGCAAACATGGATAAGCTAACAACCTATATAATTATTTGAAATGCATATTCAAAGAAAGCACATGAGCACTAAAATGCCTTAGAAAAGCTGGTTCTAAAAAGAGGAGCATCAGTTCTGAGTATCCATGCAACCCCAGATAAGGCACCACTGCAGAATTGGGATCAATTAAGTAGCTGAGGTTAGAAAGGGTGGAAAAAAACCCTGGCCTTTTCTTGTAAAAGGATGCAATTTTTTAAATAATTTGCATTGTAAAATAATCTGCAACGTCACACGACTTTTAAGCCAATCAGACCGAGGAAATTTCAAAATTTTTTTGCACTTCACGTCATAATTCAGGGTGGCTGAGCAGTTAAAGTGCTGGACTTGTAATTCAGAGGCCCCAAGTTCTTGTCCTGCCCTAGCCACTACCTAGATTTTGCCAACCGGGTCCTCTCCTACCAGTTGGTTGTTTTAACAATGTTATGTTCCATTTAAATCATTTGTTTCATTATCGCTGAAAAGCACCAAAAGGGGATCGAGATCAAAAGGATAATTAAAGTACTATAATCATCATTATTAATATTATAAAAAGTATTATCATTATCATAAGAATGACTTTAAAGAGCTATCATGCCTTTTGAACTTATTTTCAGACTTTGGACCGGTACAAAAGACTTGCACGTTTGTCATACAAAACAATACTTCACTTTAGAATGGCTTTATTGGATTTACATACTTGTTACAGGTCAAAATTAAATTCGGGTTAAATTTTTTTAACCTAAGTTGTTTCTCAATTTCCTTTGTCCCCTAGCCCTAATTATTCATGAATTAGGGCACTAGGAGACAAAGGAAATAGAAAATCAACCTAGGTTAAAAAAATTTAACCTGAATTTAATTTTGACCTGTAACATACTCACCCAACTCCACTGTAACCTTTTGTCTGTGCTTCAGCCCAGTAGGTATGATATCCAGGAAATTTGGCCTCCTAAAACAGCACAAAATGAGACTTGTTAGTAACAAAACAGGTCAATAAGAGAAACAAACAAAACAGACACAAGAATTTTATATTACAAGGCTTTGGCTAAGAAATAATACAATTGGGGAACATCACCACATTTAGAAAAGGGGGAAATTGGGCTCCCTTCAGTATTTATTAAAGCACGGTTCAAAACTGGCTTAAACCGGATACCTCAAACCGCCCAAAACCCGTTCAAAACGGTTTCCCAAATTTCGGGACAATCCCTAGGTCACGCCAAAGCATTCATTCGTTTCTGTGTATTAAAATTAATGTATTGCCCCAACCATGGGGACTGATCAAATTCCAATACACGGTGTACTTTTTTTAGTTTTAACGGGATAGATAGAGTTACAGATTTCTGTAATGTAGCACATAATTTTTCTTATCAGCCATTGTTGGGATAAGCTTAGCTACTTGTCCGATATTTATATTTATTCCAAACTTCTCCTGAATATTTTTACAATAGGAAAAGAGCATTTCTTTGGTAACTTTCATTTTCTCCGCAGCTAGAGGATAATAATTATGCAGCTCATGCAATTCTCTGGGATATTCCAAGTCGACTTCCAAAATCATACCCGTTTTTCTGTCTTCAGTACAGGCAGCAAGATTAACTTTTTGTACCTGTTTTTCAGTCATCCATCTAAACCCACCTGTTGTTAAACACTGACTCATCGCGTATCCATAAAGATTATTCGCATCTAGATACATAACATACTTACTCGGTTTGCTGCTATCATATCCAGAAATATACTTATTATTAGCTCCCCCATGCCGGTTACCAATATAGAAAATACCACAGCGCAATCCCTTTTCTATAAACTGGAACATATCAACATCTGTCATAAGCTTAAATTTTATACCAGTCATTTTCATCATAGCATCCCAGGATAGCCCAGGAGATGTAAAATAGTGGTACGAATCTAATTTATAATACTGAAGGCAGGTCTTACGGAAGTTGTCAAACACATCAGCTAATAGTTGAATATCAGACTTCAGATACAGATCTTTCCTTCATATTAAAAGTATTCCATACATTTTGAGCATATTGGTATTGCACATCAGACATATCCATATTTAGTATATACTAAAACAGTGGATAGTGTTTTTCGCGCGCTCTGATTGGCTACTCAATCAGTGAATATCCTGCACTATTCACTGATTCACCTCCAGTTCCTCCGAGCGACCGACGCCAAACTCGCTTAAGTTGCAAGCAAATTGCCTTCCCGGTTTGCTGCCGTAAACAAACAAAGAAATTTCACAACTAATCAAGCAAGCTGTTTCTGAAATACACGAAGAAGGTGTCGAAGTTCGGATTGGAAGTTTTAACAGGTAAAGCTTTGTCTTTTTGACACGAATTTATCGATAAAACCGGTGAAAAAGTTTTTTGTTTACAAACGCAAATTAAGCTTAAGTCTTGCTTACTTTATTTAGTTGAGTTGTTCATAAATAAGCTTAAATCTAAATTTAATAATCTTTTTTTATAAAATGATTTTAAATACAAAAAGAATTCACAACTCCTTTTGAAGAAATTTCCCCGCAAGAGCTAAACAAATGCCTTCAAAAGTTTTAGTTGTCGGCAAGAAAAAGCGACGGCCGCGGCCGCCCGGTCATTACGCGCCAAAATTGTAATCGTTAGCAACACTATTTGAGTTAAAAATCGTCATTTTTGTGCTCAATTATCTCACTGCTTTAGTATATACTAAAACAATTATTCACCTCAGTGTCGGTGGCTAGTCCTGGATATTTACCTCACTGCTTCGCAGTTCGGTAATTATCCAGGACTAGCCACCTCCACTTCGGTGAATAATTGTTATCTATTAAAATACTAAAGAAATGTTCTTTGGGAGTTACTCCTTGTCATCACATTTTTGGAAGCTACGCATATAATCATGGGGATATACCCCTTTCTTTTTTATGAGTGATAGTTTCTCATCCTGAAAAACCTTTGATGTATATTTGAAAGCGTCCGCGGGAAGATTAGCAGCCATCTGGCCATGAACTGGAAACTGTCCAGGAATAAAAGATGCTTCCCTAACATGAGAGCCATGTATTTCTCAATATTATTGGGAATGCAGTTTATCTCCAGATCATGCTCTTTTCCTATGGTCCCAATCTCTTGCATTATGAAATGGGAATCATATCCTTGTAGATTATGGAATATTACAGGGATCTTAAACTGCTTTGGATTAATCCTTAATTTGAGGTTACGATCCTGATGTGCCGATCCCGTATACTGTCCTTTGATATGACACTGGTCCCAAACCAGGATGTCTTTATTACCACACTTCTGTCCACAAATATGAAATATCAAGTAAATATCGGCAGTCATGTTACTTCGAGCCGATTCATGAGTCGCGGCTATCCTCAGGGTTCCGCGCTTGGCCCGTTGTTATGGAATGTTTTCCAGAATGACCTATCCTACTGCCTAACAGCGAACTTGTCTATGTATACTGACGACCATCAAATTTACCACGCAGGAGCAGACCAGGCAGCTGTGACTTCCCAGTTAAAGGATAGTGCCAACTTAGCAACAACGTGGCATGATTCTAACGTATTGGCGGGAAACCTCAAAAAGTACCAAGTTTTGAACTTGGGCTTCAATCAAAATGACAGCAATATTTGTGTGAATGATGTTGTAATTGAAACTAAAGATAATACCATACTTCTAGGAGTAGTGTTAGATTCTAAGCTAAATTTCTCTGAGCATATAATATCTATCTGTAAAAAAGCCAGCCAGAGAATTGGTGTTCTAATGAGACTACGTAATCTAATTCCTATGAAGTCTAAGTTAATATTATTCAAAAGCGCGATATTACCATTCCTCACCTACTGTCACCTAGTGAGCTTGAAAGACTACAAGAAAGAGGACTTAGAGCGGTTTTCAAGGATAATAATTCTAGTTATGAACAACTATTAGAGAAGGCAGACCTGCCCACACTACTAAATAGTCGCTTACAGGATCTGTGCATCCTTATGTATAAAGTAAAGCATAAACTGTGCCCTGCATATATAAGTAACATCTTTAAAGAACCAAATAGTAATTACAATCTGAGGCAAGCAGATTTCTCTATACCTAGGTATGAGACAGTCACCTACGGCAAGCACTCTATTAGATATCGTCTACTGTATTAATATAGTGCTCATCAATGCTGTTAATAGTCCAACCACTGCCCTCAGATACCCAGACACCAATACCGTTCAGTATTTGCTGTTGTGATACCGCCAAGCTTGGTAAAAAATCATTGGGGTTATATAATTACTATTTGCGCCCGACTATTGAAATAGGCTGGCTTATAAATATTGTGCTCATCCTTCCTCTTAACAAATGTAACTTTTAAAGTCTCCACAAATTTAAAACCTTTTATTTCATTAAGAATAACATTAAATAATCGACTATGCGCCAGTCTCGTATTTTGCAACTGCACCAAAGCATCTCTATCAGATTTCAAACCAATCTCATATGATTTGGTAAAACCCTTCAGAGCCCTTCGTTTTTCACCAATTCTTGTCCTTGGTGCTGGCACCGGTTGCTGTTTTTTCATTCTGTTTTTTTCATTTCATTCTCAAAATGCCGTATTAATTGTTGGGCATTTCTCATTGGTGTAGGAATAGGGCGTGCTTCTCTCTGTCTCCTCGGAGCAGGAATAGGGCGTGCTTCTTCCCTCACTCGTACTAAATTCTGTGAGCCCAGATAACAATCTTCTTATAAGTTCAATACGTCGACTCATTATATTTTTACTGTATATTATTTTTTTCTTGGATCAGTCAGAGAACAATCTGCTTCTGACTGTTTAAAACCAACAATAAGGCCATTTCTCGCTTCTTGTTGGTTGGCATTAGTTTTACTCATAATTACACTCATATTATGCATATATTATAAGGCGCCATCTCTTTAAACAGGTTAGCCCAAAACCGGTTCAATCCGGATACCCAAATTCCGGGAAAATCCCAGGGTCACGCCAAAACTCCAGGAAATTCCCAAGGTTAAAATCCAAAATATAAAACCGCGCTCGGACCCCCATGTCCTATACTACTGACATTCACTCTTAAAAGTATGTAATATTTCAGATAAACATATCTTTACCATTATCTCTTTGTATATTAACTTGTGCTGGTTTATTTTCCCCTAGAAATTTCTCTGTTTCTTACCGAATCTGACACTCTTACTAGCCGCCACATTTAAAAACCCTATTAACCAACTAAAATAGCCTAGAAGTCAACATATAACAAAACAAAGCTAACATACCTTTAACTGAACGTCTCCTTGTTGGTCCTTGCCGGTTTAAGTGACATTTTGTCAAGTTTTGCACCCGTAGGTACTATCCACTAAAATACAAGTATTTAAAGACTATAGTCTTTTTTTTTTCTTGGTGAGTAAAAGCTCTCACTTATAATTAAGGTTTGCGAAAATTTACAAATTCAAAAATTTACAAATTTCCTACTAGCTTTATCAATGAAACCGTCTTAGCAGGTGGCCCTGAGTATTAGATATATATTCTTTCTTTTCAGTACCAGGTTTTTTTTGCATAATTTCTTGAGTTGACATATTCACTGCACTCATTTGAATTTATAACGACAAGAACAACTTTTAAGAAAAGAAATTAGTTTCCATTCTCTATTTTATTATTTTTTTTTTGTGCGATAGATTCTGCTTTTATTATTTAACAACGGCAGCTTAGAGTCAGCTTAAATTGGTTGTTTTTTATCCACAAAACCGAGGTAATGAATAAAGGAAAAAGCTTCCTTTGTGTTCCAGTTTCCGAAACAATACGTCTATTAAAATATGTTTTATATGTTTTAGCTTTTCACCTTTTTTTTTTGCGACAGCTACAGCGCTTTTAGCGACTATACCACTAACTACACGGTTATTACTGTCATTATTAGCCAGGTCCAGTTGCTAAAAGAGTGTGAGCGGAACAAGTTATATCATAACTAACTGAATACAGGAACTTTGTGTAAAA